ATTGGTTGAGAACCTACACAGACATACTTGCATTCTTGTTCTAACTGGCTGGCACCCCCATTTAAACTTGCCTATGTAAGCAGTGTGGTTCAAACAGCGAGTGAATTCCTTTAAAAGTATAAGAGGTTTTATATAAATGTAAATAATTTGCACAGACTCCCACAATTCCTCTCTCTTCATCGCATTAGGACACCAACGCAGGACCATAAATCCTGCATGAAACAGCATCAGAATCATCAATATTTTAGGAAGTAAATAAGGAGATATTCTAATGTTTCTACTGCTACTCCATGAAAACAATGCATCCTTTAATTTCTCTTTAGCAATTCTTTTATATAGTCTTGTAACTGCAAGGATAAATCGCTTAACTAAACAGTTATTTTTTTATATTATATACATTTTATATTAAATCTATAATTTACTGGAAGGCTCTTATTTTAGTAAACCAATGAATGAAAAATACAAATCCAAGGCTGTTCATTGTGTAGATTCTTTGGCTGAATAGTCAGTTCACTATAAGAAAAACATCATATTTAGAGTTCAGTCTGTAGTCTTTGATATATTTGCCTGTCCGTTTGCTACATGAAAACTATTTGTTCAGCTTCAGTCCAAACTCACATCACATGCTCTAAAACTTATCAGATCCTTGCGTTATGTTCCTAAGGTACAAACCAAATCAAATCGGTATAGTATGGTATAATACAATAAAGATTGTCATCAGGGGTATGGCTCGTCTTGTGACATATCAAAGTATACTGATAATCTAATTATGTTAGGACCTGACAGAAACAGGCCGATTGCCTTCTCGTGCTGCCTCGCTGACACAATATTCAGCCGAGTGTAGACACGGCACCGAACGGCGGCACATTCTCGCCATAAGCAGATTTCTCTTGGATTATCTGCATGACCTCTGCTGCAGACATATGGGCCTTTACTGTCATCTTAACCACCGCTGTGCTGAGGAGTCACTCAGTACATTTGATTCAACTCGCTTCCTAATGCACTACATGCATATCTGACTGATCAACGATTTATTTGTTGTGTAGTTGCAGTTTTCCTGAACTACGCAATCCTTTTGTAGACCACTGAATGTTTGATCATTGAACTGCAGCTCTTATGAAAAAACACCATGTCTCTCCTCACTATCAAAGTATGGATTCCCTCAAGGTTCAATACTAGGGTCAACTGTATTTTCACTATAATGCTACCACTTACAAATTGTCTGAACTGATATAAAAGTAGAGCCTGACTGATGTTGGATCTTTAAGACCACTACAGATATCATTATTTGGTCATTTTGGCGTTTTAACCACATCCTTTTATTGTTAGACCTTTATCTTAAAATTTTAAACACTATAAATGGTAAATGGCCTGTATTTATATAGCGCTTTACTAGTCCCTAAGGACCCCAAAGCACTTTACACAACAAGTCATCAACCCATTCACACACTGGTGATGGCAGCTACATTGTAGCCACAGCCACCCTGGGGCGCACTGACAGAGGTGAGGCTGCCGGACACTGGCACAACCGGGCCCTCTGACCACCACCAGTAGGCAACAGGTGAAGTGTCTTACCCAAGGACACAATGATCGAGACTGTCCAAGCCGGGGCTCGAACCGGCAACCTTCCGATTACAAGGCGAACTCCCAACTCTTGAGCCACTATGAGGCAACTGTTGTGAATTGTTAATATCACTGATACACAAACTACCATTAACGCTGTTATTCCCTCTCGGTTAGAGTACTGCAAAGGTCCTTTAATAAGGTATATATCAGAAGTCAAATAATAAACTCTAGTTTACATAAAACAGCAAAAGACAGAAAAGCAAAAATATTGATCAGATTTTTAATGACCTTAGCTGATTTGTTTCAAATTAATTAGTAGAGTTACTCTTAATTGTCAAGCCTTTAATGGGCTAACCCCAGAAAATATATCAGAACTGCAGCCCACTTACAAATCAGTGCTTCAGGCAAATCCCCAGGCAGGAACTTGCTCTCTTTTAAACACTAAACAAGACTGAACAGAGAAACTATTAGTAATCACTTTTAAATAATTTGTGTCATATGGCAATACATTTTAAAAAATGACTAACAGTCATATTAGTCATAACTCTCTTGGCACTGCCCTCATCAAACAGCTGCCTTTTGCAGCGCTGGATTATAGTAACATCCACTGTAACAAACTGCATGGCAGTGGGCGGCTCTGATGACTAATCGGTGACATTCCAGCGCAGCAAGATAGTGATCCACGACAGGAGCTGGAGAGACGGTGACGTAGCGATCTGTCCCACCTACAGGCCACTCAGGAGGCAGAAGAGGGAATACAAGCTGGACATTTCGTGGCTTGTGGTAAGACCAGGGGGAAGCAGCGGGGCAGCTTGATAATTATCACACTTGATAATTTGTTCAAATAAATTAACTTTGTGCTCAGGAATTCTTGGCAAATTCATTTAATTAAGCCTAGAAGTTTTCGAACAATGCGAAGAATCTACCACAGCCTTTTCAATGAAGGAGAAAGGTGACATCCTATTATTTTTGCCTGGAATGTGAGCCATTCATGATGTACTACTAACACATGCAACAGGAATGCAAGCGCTGAAGGAGGAGCAGCAAGGACAATAACCCGCTCGTTCAGCATGAATTATTGCTGTTGGCATTAGCTAAGTGATTAACATCAACTGAAATAAATCTGACAAAGCATTGACTGGAAGGTTCACGTCTGACAAAGCTGGAACATGTCTATCAGTCATAAGATCAGAGTGAAGACACACAGGTTGTAGTTTATAGCAGCACAGTTTCAGGCCTTTTTAAGTTAATTTGACAAAGCTGGTCAAATTTCTCTGTCAGCAACCTGACAGAGACTGTCCGAGCCAGGGCTCGAACCGGCAACCTTCAGGTTACAAGACGAACTCTTTGAGCCACGATCGAATCTATGCCCACCTCCGACTACAAAGAGTTGTTTGCTTCAATTATATTCACAAAGAAAGGCGAAGTGAAAGACCAGACATCATCACGCAAAATCTCACTTACAAAGAGATTGTTAGGTAGGACCAACCTGATAATAGTTTAAACTCTGATCCCCAACTGCACTTGATGCACTTCAGAGAAGCATACAGGGCACATCTGTAACATTTAAGACTGACTTAGGTCTTTGTGCTCTCAGTGGTTAGCACTTTCTGCATGTCCGGCTGGAGGAAGCCGGCATTATCAAGAATGGCTGTGAAAAGCTACAGCAATACTTAAAGTGGGGACTTTTTTGTCAGCAAGGCAAACTTTCCTTGTACTTCCTTACAAGTGGCAGACACTAACCTAAAAACAAGCCTGAGCATTTGATTGGTGGATCTACTGAGAAGCAAGACACAGAGGACATGACAGCCAGGCTAGATGGAGTCTTTATGGCTCACATGGACTGCTGGTAGTGAAAGGTAACAGTCTGAGAAATCACAACTATAATGTGCAAGTTTTTTATTCAGGACAATATGAAGATTGCTGTACTTAAATGCAGAGTCATTACAGGTTAATACTGCAATCAAGTGTGAAATAGCTTATATGAGAAGCTTTTACCTTGAGATATCAAGGCCAGTGGGTTTACTCATAATGGTAAAGCATATATTGTAGCCCGCTTTCAAATTAAAAGCACGAGAGTGAGTCATGAAACGAGACTGTATGGAAGACACCTTTGTAAAAGAATCTAAATAAAAAAGTGTTGTATAGCATCAAAGATAAATGTAGGGCTGGAACTAGGAATTAAGGATGAACCAAATTGTTAGGAGAATGCAATATTTTAAAAATAATCTATAAATTTCGCTAATATTGTTTTGTTTCATTTTTTGTTGTTATTTATTCTTCATTCAGTGTCAGGAAAGCAAAATAATCTCTGTTCCAGATTATTTTACTAGATTTAAAGTTTCTGAGCGCCTTATCACACTGTCTTTGAACATTTAAATGGCACAGACCTGATCTGATACAGCACATAAACATTGGCCAATGCCACTGGGGAACGTCATTTAATTGCTCGTAGGTTACTAATGTCCATGCGACAGTATCAGTGCAACTATTATTTCAACAGACATTTAACTTGTCAATCATTTATTCACTGCAAAATAACTACCTTTTAAACATGAATAATTATGAAATTCAGGCTCTCTTTCCCTATAGTTAGCCTTTTGTCCTGCTCTCTTCTCTTTCCTATCACTCCCAGCTGATCACAGCCCCCTCCCTCACCCGGGTTCTGCCAAAGGTTTCGTCCTGTTAAACAGGAGTTTTTTCTTCCCACGGTCACCAAGTGTTTGTCCATCAAGGGGTTGTCTGATCTTTCCCATTTGTAGGATCTTTTCCCTAGAATATAAAGCACCTTATGGTTGTTGTGAATTGGAACTATTAGCACTATTTAAGTGTCTTTGTTTAAAAGCCATATGATAAAATGAAAAAAATTAAATAAAATTTGCCAAAACTGTGATCTTGATAAGGTTTATAGCTGCATAAAGCAGTGACTCAATGGCGACTTTATGACTAGCATTTTACTTTGAAATCCAAACCCGGAAGTTGGATTGTGATCATTCGGGTTGACCTGGTCCTAGTCGTTTAAAGTAATAAAGGAGGGAGGAGGGGGGAACAAAAACAAAATACACACACTGTATATGAACTCCCGAGGAATTAAAGACCTCGCTAATTACCCTCTTTACAGGATAATAGCTTATAACGCTGACAGCAGTAAACAGCACATAAGGCCGCATTAACAGTCCCAGACAATGTGATTTAACAAGGCTACACCCCTCTCGCCTCCGGCCAAACTCCCCTCTTTTTTGTTTGACAGATTTCCAAAGCTACCCACAGTTGTCTGCATCATTTCATGAACAACTGCAGAAAAGGACGTTGGGGCTCTCTCGTGCATCAACATAACCGACGTTTCAACACCGACTTAAGTTACAAAGGGCAGTCATATTAGGTTATCTGAAAGCTATTGCTCTTCGACAGTAGAGCCTAGAAATAATACTTACAGTGGGAAGATGTTTGGTGGGGGGGATCTGTAAATGTCCTGACCGCTTCTGTCCCGGTTCACAGCGCAGCCGAAGCTCCCAGATAGACGCCTATGCTCACGCCAGGGTTGTTTGTCGACACAAAAGTCGGCTAAAAATGTGTGCGAAACAATTTAAAATGTGTGGAATCTGTTAAGAAGGCAGTGCTGAATTCCATCTGGTCGCTTTCCAGTGTGCTGCCAAGTTAGCAAGAACGGAGAGATTAAGGACTTCCCGATTGCGCTGTCATAGTAAAATAATCGGCGGCCCCTTGTTTCTTTGGAGGGTGGAGGAGAAGCACGATTGTGCTGCAAACTAAAGTGGACGCCATCGATGGAGAAATTTAAATAAGGCTGTATTTATGAATTCAACCAAGAAGTCCTCTATTGCATCGGGGCTTCATAAAAACTTGTAATTTGTAGTGCAACTCGCGTCACTTCCTGTGTGGCTCACGCTTGCTAGCTTGACAAATCTGTATCTTTCCAGCCGCGGCTGATTCTCGTTCACATCCTCCGGCTTCAAGCGCTACTTACGGCCTTGACTGAAGTATTACTGCATCGTGTATATTCACAAAAGCACATATTTAATACAGTTACCAGGAAATACATCTAAAAACTACTTTGGTGACGTAGGGTTTGCGTGCAAGAGGGAAATTAAGCGGAAAATAGACCTCAAGGTCGGCAGCAGTACTTATTGGAACGAACCCTAGACTGAATCATGATAGTCTAAACTGGAATAAAAGCCCATTGGAGGAAAGGAACCATGTGGTTGAAATTACACTTCCGGATCACAATTAATAATTAATTTCACTGTCAATTTCTCTCTCTTCCTTTTTTGTTTTTAGCCGACTTCAAAAATAAACAGCTAACCATTAAATATATTTTTAAAATTCATAATAATAGAGAAAAAGGCTAAATTCAATAGAGGAAACCATTTCAGACTTTATTAAAGCTGCTTTTCAATTTACATACAAGTCAGAATTACATATTTACAAATGTACATGGATATGTCTTGTAACAAGTTTTAAATCGTAATATGCTGTTATATCAACAGCATATTCAGTAGATGTGCAATAGGAAAATAAAGACAGTGGGTGCTGCAATGTGCTGCATAAAAACAAACTTAAAAAATAGAATCCTTTCTCATGTCTCCGGCCTCTGAGTCGAAAAAGTACAAATTACACGGTAAGATTTTATTTGGGTGACCAAAAAAAAAACAAAAACAAAAAAACCCTGACGACTTTAGTGCCCATGTCAGCTTTCTCAAGAGGGCAGAATATAAACTCTCACAATGTACAACAGGTAAAAAATAGTTCTCCAGGAGGTTTACAGCATGGGGCTTATGAAGTACATGCCACACAGAGTGATGATATACAGAGAGATAGAGAGAGACTCCTCTTAACAATATACATGCTCTTTAGGGGGAACAGTGTGAGGTATAAGAGGACACATCTGTACAAGTGTAACATTTATTTCTCAGCACGTGGACGCACAGCTATGCAAGCCACAGTTTAGCTCACAGTTTGACATCGAAAGGCCTGTAAACTGGTTTGTTTCCTCTTCCTTTACGTTCAGTGGGAGGATCTTAAAAGAAAAAAAGTGCTTCTCAGCAAGTTCTTGAGAAGCCAATCACGATCACAAGCACTGATTTTAGTCCAATTAAGAAAAAAAATCAAAGAAAAAAAAAAACTGCTAATCATGGCTTTGTCGAGCAGGTGGACAAGCTGGTTTCCTGTTTGAAACAGTGTCACACATTCAACAACGCAGGTGGAAAAAGGAGAGATTGTTTTACAGTGTACCTCGTGGATACAGTAAAAATCCTGGGATATATATTTAAAAAACATTTAAAAAGGAAGGTGTCATTCAGTGTTCAGAATAGCACAGGCTTCAGAGGTTGCGTGCAGAACAGCTGGTCGTCAAAGGCGGTTGGCATCAATCTACATCAGAACAGTGGACGTATCACATTTTCTAAACTAGTTACTTAACTGTGACGTTTACTCAGCTACATTTTGGTGTCAAGTACACAAAGTATTGCTCTCAGGCCGGAGGTGCAAACATGTCGAGCAGGTCCGGGCCGTGGTATTATTAACCCAGCTTGTGGAGAAGCAGCTACTGTCACATGCTTGAATAGGGCTGGTTGCACAGAGAGGAGGGGGGGAGGAGGGGGACAAAGCCTGCTTTTGTTGCTGCGGTGCAGACCAAAGATAGGTGAGCACGGTGACACAAAAAAAACAGACACACATTCAGAACACTGAGATTCGGGCCGCGACGGCTGTTTGAGCAGAGGCTGCACATGTGTCTGAAAAACTCTGATCGAACTGCTGTCTGTTGTCAACACAAACAATCAGGTGAGTGTGCGCGCGCACCCACACAGACACAAAGACAGGTATGCAGTCACACCCGTCTGCCTACAGAAACGTCTTCCTGAGAGGTAAAAATCCAGAGCAGTGCACTGGCGGGTTGCTCAATCCCTCAAAGGAGGAAAACAATTCACTTAGAATGAAGTGCAAGACACCTGACCACCAGGTTGTACTGTTGTTGACATTCACCTAGTGACTGCGTGCGGTTCTTAATATCATAAAAACAGCTTTTAAGGGAAGCTCATTATCCATGTGTGAGGAATACAGCGTTCTTTAGTAGCTTCAACAACACAAAACGCCTGCACGCAATCAACCTGCTCACTTTTCCTCCCAGATGTACTGAAAGCATTTGTCCTCTTGCGGCCGCCTGCTACTTTTCACAGTGTGCGATCAGCGACTGACACCAAAGCCAGCATTATCGGGGGTCTGATGGTGTTTGTCTACATAACATCCTCCTGCACAAGAATCTGTTGCCGTGCTGCGATGTCGTCGTCGACTTGAAGGGGCTCGACTAACCAGCAGTTCTGTCCCCTCTGCAGACGGCGCGTTTAGTGCAGATGTCCTTTCTAACCTCTCCACATTAATGCTACATAATCACTAGGCCTGGACTGCCTGTTCAGTCAGTTATTAGACTGCGGACATTTAGCTTTAAAGAAGGCCTCGCAGGAGGTGATACATCACATGACTTGTGTGCCGAGGAATGACAGATATCCCTGATATTTCCCTCTCGCTCGAAGGAACGGCAAAAAAAAAAAAAAAAAATCTATACTTAAATTCTACCAACATGCTGACACCTTTGAATATAAAAAGAATTTTAAATGACAGTGCAGTTCTTCTAAATACTCTGGAAAAAGGGGGGCAGTTAGCACTTAGCCAGCGCTGGTTGATCTGCAGAGAAAGTTTTGGTTTTCAGATGGATTTAGAAACTGTGACGTGGGTGACTGTCCTCCTGTCAGACCAAACTCCAGCTTTTTTTCCTTCTTTGTTTTTTAAGCATTTTCCACCTGTACAAAATGATTTTAGGTGCAGTGATTTAAATTTAAAAAAAAAAAAAAAAAAGCTGGGAAGACCTGACTCAGGTCAGGGTTTGATGTCGGAGAAGCTGGTGTAGGTCTCGCTGCAGCTGGAAGAAGTGCTGAGGTTCCCAGAGACGCTGCCATCTGCAGGACAAACACACAAACAGCAATGCTCTGTTAAAGCCAGACGTTGCAGGGGGAGAATAATAGCGTCATTGTGCCGCATTGCTAGGCAACAGGTACCCATACTGCAGCGTTAAGGGAAAGATATGAATGTGTGTACTTCCTGTTCGTTGTAACCTACCTGAGCTGCTGAGTGATTGAGATGACTTGGACTCTGAGATGAGGCTGAGGAGGTTTGCTGCTGCCACCCAGCCCTCCTTACTGGTGCGAAGGTTCTTTACGAACCTGTGAAAGGAGTTAAATAAATATATATATTATTTGAGATAAAATTACAGGACATTTTACATTAATAAGCCACAACATTAAAACCACTGTAAGTGTAATATACAGCACTGATGATCTTGTTATAAAGCAATGCTTAGTTAGAAAATCTTGGATCCTGGTATTTATATGGTTGCTGATGACACACAGCATATATGTAAGCATTGCTATCGACCAACCAAACCCCTCCAATCCCCACGCCCAGGGCAAAGCAGCCTCCCTCATCTGGATACAGCTCCCTACCACAGCAAAATGAAATAAAAAAATCATTTAAAAACTGCTGTGACAGGATTAGATACCATTCTGATTGAGCAATTCTGAAATGCACTGACAGCACTTCACCCTGAACAGGACCCAAAGGATCCTGGTACCATACAGCACAGGACATTTCCACAATTCGACCCAGTATCCTGATTGCTTACAGCTCGTTTTGGTGAGAAGTTTTTTTTTGTTTGTTTGTTTTTTTGACACTGTAATTTTTATTGATAGTTTTGTCACAGTTTAAACACAGACATGTATTGCTTTACAGGAGAAATAACCATGCAAGCACACAGTCAAAACAAACGGAACTAAAGCGAACAAAAGGTGTGGGTGCCAATTCTAATCAACTACCGTATGCATACCCGCCTTTACTCCGCAGCATACATACCCCAGCTTATATACGTACTTTTATACGGGCAAGCATCAATAGATATACAGAGTTATAGAACTTAGATGTTTTGTTCGTTCATTAATTTTCCTTGGTGCCATATAATGTCCACTTCTCCCACTTAGCAACGAAAATATCTTCCTTTAATCTGAGAATGTAAGTCATTTTTTCCATTGCATAGATTTCTCCAACAATATTTAACCAGTCTTTTGAAGAAGGCGGATCCAGTTTGCACCAGTTTCTTGTTATGGTGAGAAGTTTTAACATTGTGGCTAATAAACAAAGATCGAAATAGAAGACCTATGACAGTTACTCTCCATTTACATGTACGAGCACTAAATTCTCCCGAGTGCGAGTGTTTGTGTGATTGTTAGACAAGGTGCTTAGTGTGTGTGTGTGTGCGTGAGAGAGAGACTGGGAGAATGAGGTTTGTAGTAAAAAGCATTTTGAGTGCTCAGTCACAGAAGAAAAGCCTGATTAAAGTACCACTCAGTATCATATTTATGTTATGTGTCACATCATGAAAGCAGAGTGAACTTGTTCCTTTAAGAATGAAAGTTCAGATTATATTCCCTCGCAGAATTAGATGTGTATACCATCAGCTTTTCTTTATTCTAGTCCAGTGTTCGCATTTGGAGCCCTTAAATTCGGCAGCTATCCTAAAAAGTGTGTGCAGTCACAAATTACCAACTTTTACTCTTTCTTTGTGGCACAGATTCAACACGGTCCTGGAAACATTCCTCAATCTTGGGTCTATAGCGTCACACATTTGCTCCAGAAGACACCCACTGTGGTCTTCTGCTTCAAGGTGTGACATGTGCATTCAGAGATGCTCTTCTGCACACCTTGCTGGTAACAAGTGGTTATTTGAGTTACTCTTTCCTCCCTATCAGCTCAAATGCATCTGGGTCCCATTAAAATCCATTTAAATTAAGTGTTGTTTGCTTTTGTTTTTTTACCACTGTCCCTCCTCTCCTTCTCTGATCAGCTGGACCATGTCTCCACTCTTAACAGACAGCTCCTGAGGTCCCGCTTTCTCGCAGTCTGCCACCACAGTATACTTTCCCGGAGCCTAAAAGGATCAAATGTTAACAACTTTACCAACTTTTACAACCACACTTTAACTTTAAAGCTAAAAAAGAAATAAAAATACAGATCTATAATAATTCTTCATTCTCAGGCTCACCAGCTTCTTTCCTACTTCGTCCTCGGGGTCAGAGTTCATGGGGTCCTCGCCGCTGGAGTAGCCATCGTTCTCTTCTGAGGCGTCCGCTGAGAGAGACACCTTGTTCCAGCCTGTAGGTTGGATGATGGGAAAATCAGAGAGAGAAAAGTTCAACACACAGACAAAAAAAAGGGCAAAAGGAGAGAAGTGAGGTCGATCTTTATCACAAAGCTCCGTGTTAAATCAAGTGAGATTAGATGTTTGAGCTCAATAGTGAAGTACAGAAAAATGACATGAATGGATCAAATATTTGCGAAAGCCACACAAATCTCCTGTGTGGAGGGTAACCCCCTCCCCCCCAAAAAAATGTGATCGATCAGATTATGAAAAATTTATCTGTTTAGATACAAAAACCACACACGCGCCTCCAAAAGTCACAGAGATCATCAGACAGAAAGAAAAGGAGGACCTGTGATCAGAAAACAGATTTCAATCACCTGCATTTGTTACAAGGCTGCTCTGACTCCCAGTGCCGAAAAATAGTTGCTGAAGTGGCGTACTGTGTACAGCACCACAACAACCCCAAACAAACAAACAAGCAAAAAACACCCGACAGCAGAAGAAGAGGCAATGATTGATTTGAGGTCGAGCAGGCACCGTGCAAAAAGATTTAGCCTAGAACTGAGACTTCAGATTTAGTCAGGTTGAATCTTTAGATCTCGCTCCAATGTGCAAAAAGACAGTAAGACTCAGTAAAAGGCTAAAGGACTCCTACGGCAGATACACGCTGCGACACTTTACCTCGGTTCAAATCAATCACGAGCACCCACAAACAACAGCAAACACCCCCACTGTGGCTGCTGATGCTCAGAGCGGCTCTGTACCTCGCCGCTTGCTCTGTAACAGACTAGAGGTGCTCATCCATCTGACTCTGCTCAGAGTGACGTGGGGAGCCGGCTCTGAAGGGGAAGAAACGGCCAGCAAAATGAAAAAAAAAAATCAGTGACAACCAGCCTGTGGTGTTGGTGACAACGGGTCAGCTGATCAAGCATCACTGAAATGCACAAGATACCAGACATGTAACAGTGATGATGATGATGATGATGATGACCTGTGGATGAAGGTTACAAAGTTGGTCTCTGCTGTGCGACTATCTGCATGGGTGAAACTCAAACCAGCCTTTGGAAACATTTCATTGGTCTAAATCGTAAATGCACCAGATTCCAATTGGGCAGTTTTAGCAAACAAAGCAACACAATACAAATATATTACTGCCATTTTAGCTGCTTCTATTACTCATTTGAAGACATGCAGATAGTCTCTATGATCAGCAAGAGGATGAAGAACAGCCTCTATATTGATGGACCGATGGGTTGCTACAACGTTACGCCCCGTTTGTAACGAAACGTGTGTCAAAATCTACATTATGGAGACAATCGAAGCAGGAGTACATCGTGATCAAGTGAGATGGCCTCTAAGATGAAATGTTCCCTCATAATGGGGCGGAAATATACCTTTGAACCCAAACGGTGTGGGATCGCTCTTTACCAGGTGGCGTTTGGAGCTGTGCTCAGGGCTCAGAGTCGAGCCTGGCCACACAGGAAGGAAAGATGTGAAGGAGGAAGAAGAGAAGAGAAGTGAGGGAGGACAGAAGCGAGAAGGAAGCAAGAAATTAACACTAACGTTAGAAGTTTGTACATGATGCGAACAGTCTTAGCTAATCAATAGCCAAACACACACACACACACCATTACAGTGGTGGATACTCATATTAAATTTGGTCAAAGGTAAAGATAAGCATGAAGGTAAACCCTGTGAGCACACAAGCACAACTCAGCTGCTGTGCAAACTCCTGCTTTAGAAGAGCAGCCAATCAGAAGAAGGTTGTCTTAAACTCAGTAGAGCTATTTAAAAAAAAAAAAAAAAAAAAAAAAAAAAAAGTCTTGTAGCAGATAGGCCAAAGTGAGCATGTGCAACAAGGCCCGCTATAGGCTAAATAACTGAACTGAGAGCCCAAGAATTAAAAAAAAAAAAATGAAGCTGTCACCTTTAAAGTTTTAAATAATACTACTTTCATGAAGAGGAGCTTCTACTTCACTTTCACCTCTACTCCAGTGACTAGTTGTATTTTTTTCCAATATAATTTAAAAACCTTAATATTCATTTTGATTCAGCCACAATGGCAGTGTTAAACTTTTGCCACCAGGAGGCAGACTGTCTCCAACATAACCATCGGGGATCATGTGAGCTCCATTAGGCCGTAAAGCAGGTTAGACTGGAGGAGGCCGATTAATTATTGGGCACCGGGTAAAATCTCAGACAGAGGCTCACATTCAGAACTGGATTCTGAAGCCTTTATTTAATATATTAGCATTCTTAGTTCATATAGCGAAGGGTGTTTCTTGCTGATAATCAACTGAACTTTTCATCACTGACAAACGACATACTGTGACGGGCCACGCTGAGCTGTTCTTAGCATTATCCTTCCTTTAAAAAAACGTTTGCATTCGCTAACGTTACCTTTGGGACTCTTGAGATTGCTGAAGCCCTGCAAAGTAAAACGCTTTTTGGCCACTGAGGACCTGTCAGTGGTCGGACTGGTCACCGGCTCTTCTGGAAGCAATGATTTGAAATGAGTGCAGGACAAGGGCAGCCATGAAAAGAGAGAAGAAGCCCCAAACAGGGGAGTGGAGAGGAGAGAGAAAGATGATAGATGAAGACAAAAAGAACCTGGTTTAGTGGGAGTTTAGAGCACAGCTTAGAGTAGGGACTTAGATAAAAGTGTTATCGTCTTCGAAGATGCTGTTTAACTCAAACATCTACCTTTGTGTTTCGGCGAGGATGACGAGTTGCTGTCAGAGGTCGGGGCCGGCTCAGTCTTCTTCTCCTCCTGCTTCTTCTGGTTCTTCTGACCGCTGCTACGGAAAGGGCTGCAAAAAGAAAAAAGTAAAAAAATAGACGTATGTGTGATTTTTTTCCTTATTATCTCTAATCTGTCTAATGAGTCCTTACGTTACATATAAGCCACCAACCTGAGAGAGATGGAAGTGGTGTTGTTGCTGGTGGGACTTGGGGACATAGAGTCTGAGCTCTTCTGCTGGCTGGCATCTAAAACATACAACAACAACAAAAGTATTAAAAAGGAATAAAATAGGTTTAAAAAATAAAAACTTCTGGAAAAGTTAAGGAAGAAGTTTTCACAATACCTCTGCAGGCTTTGAGCTGCTGAGTCAAAACTTTGCGGATCTCGTTCACCCATGCCGTTTTAATCTCCGGCGTCGGGGCCTAGATTAGAACAAGTGCGGACAATCATTCCTCATCTCTAAAGGTATGATTAATAAAAGCAATCAGGTCGAACGCCCTTACCTGCACTATAAAAACTTCTTCTCTCGAGTTGCACCAGATCTCAAACTTCTTGTTGTCTCCCTTGGCATTCTCTGTGATGCCCACCGCGCTCATCTGAAAGAATATAGAAAACTTAAACACTAAATCTTTACTGCTACGGCACGGCATCGACGTTCCTTTTAAAAAATGGAGCAAGCAGGCTCACACTGAGGGAGTGTTTGAAGCTGTAAGACGGAGCTTTCTCGTAGCCCTCCCCGTTCTCCTCTCTCCTCTTGCAGAAGAGCAGAGCCTTCTGGTGCAGGAACAGGTGCCTCTGCATGGGCTTAAACCTGGCCAGGTCCTTCACTTTGGCATGACCTTTCTTATGCTCGGTCCACACGCTGAAGGAGCCCTGCATCAGCAGACGACCCAGCTCTGACAGGTTACCCTAACAGGGTGAAAAGACAGATGCGTGTTTTTGCATTGCACGACCTCTGAAAGCCGATAAATAAAAAATTCTGGTAGCTTATTGCCAAAACTGTCCTGTAATTATAAAGTAGAACATTTTTGTTAATTTACTTTTTTGTCATTTAATTGTTTATCTATTACTCGTCAGTGGGACAAGTACAGTATACATACAGTTAAATCAATTAAAACATTTACACCTTTACTGGGCAAATTCTGGCTCCTGGACCTTATGTTTCGCACCCCTGGTTAAAGTTTTGCAGCATTGCAGTTTTGAAACTGGCCACATGATGGAGCTATTGCGACTGTTTTTGACTCTGGCTTTGCACCTTTGCACAGGTAGCTGTGTTTCAGCTCTGTAGCCTTTAATGTTTTTAGATATTTGATTATATGTACTTAAAAAACAAAGAAACGTTTTAGCCTGGAGGGGAAAATGGAAAAAGCAGATAAGAAAAGTGGGAAGAGAGTTCGCAGAGGGCAAAAAGGAGAGAGTCTGGGGTGTACTCATGCCCAGGCCCTGTAAACCCCATCAGCTCTTGTTAAAGAATAATTAACCTGCTCTGTATTTTAAAAGAACGCACGAAACTGCAAACTCAACCCATTTTCCCACAGCTAGATATTCCATTCAAGACTTTCAAGGCAGTTTGAAATGATTTGACCACCTCTAGTAAAGTTTGCAAACGCAGTGTACTTCTTCTAACCTCATATCCTGTGATAGCAATGAGATGCATGGAGTCATTAACGGCTTTGAGAATCCCAAGAATGGAGGACAGCGCTTCCTGTAGGTCGTCACAACCGTCACAGCCCTTGCTGTACTTCAACATCTCCTGCAAACATTGGAAAAAACAAAACAGTGAGTCATCCCCCCTCTTACATAACAGGTGTACATAATACATGAACAGAGCCGACCTTAAGCAGTAGCTGGTACTTGGTGATTCTCTGGACGGGTTTAAGGAGGTAGGAGTCCAATCCAAGTTTATGTTCCAGCTTCTTCTGGCACTCCTGGTGTATAAAACATGAGCCGGTTAAGATTTAAGTTTTATATTGCTTAAAAGCCCGTGAAAAGGAAGGCGGTGCTACAGCTGTGAGGGCTGACCTGGAAGAAGGCACAGTCGGAGCACTGTCTCCACAAGCTCTCGGAGCGAGGTTTATTTTGGCAGTAAGCCTCGTAGATCTGCAGGTCCTTCATCTGCAGCGAAAACAATCATTAGCAAGTCAGTACGAGCTCAACCGCTGTTGACGGAAACATTGCTGTTGATGCGATTCCTGTCAAAACGATGCATAAGAAAATAAAAGTGCTCACCCGTTCTAAAAAGCAGCGGCCCACCAGCTCTGGGCAGTCAGTGTGTGCTTCCAGTTCCTTCAGAAATGTCCTTGAGACAGGAAAGACAGGTATAAATACTCAAACTATGAACAACATTTGTAAAGCACCCACATATATAATCAATTAGCTTAAAAGTGTACCTCTTGTGAAACTGGTAGATTTCTGGCATGTTCCCAAACAGGATGTCCTTCTTGCTGTGCAGGTTGCTGGGGATGAGGTGAGCCATGGCAGGGTTGTCCATCTCTGCCGCGTAGCCCTGGATTTTAACATCGCACATTTAGTAAAAGCTTCAGCCTTTTCACCAAGTAATGTCAGGTCATGGTATCATTACCGACACGACAACGCTCACCTCCAGCACACACAGCAGCTCCTCGACATAAGCTCTCTCCGTCTCCAGCAGCTCGTTCATCACGTGACTGAAATGTACACACACACAACACAAAATACAATGCGGACTACAAAGAACAAGCAGCATGATTGCCAAATAATTGCTTTCCTATCTAGGGCTCTGGGGAAAGGACTTTGACCCCTTACCGGCGAAGCACTGCCAAGTTTTCTTCTTCTTCTGAAAGAGAAGCATGTCTTGTGCCACCGTTGTGTACAGGAGACTCCACCTTAAAAAATAAATAAATGAATGAATCAGACACAGTCATGCATGTTTAGTATTTATCACCCACTTAAAACCTTTATTGTATCATACAACATTCGTAGAAATGATAAGAATTTACCTTTTTGGAGAGGACATTATCAGCAGAGTATCTCCTGTCTTTTCTCTCTAGATCTGATTAGAAAAAAACATCATTATGTTTTTTTTCATCCAAGTTTAGATTCGTCCTTTTCATCCTAATCAAACCACCACTAAACGAGTAAAAGATACCTCGTTCGACATCAGTTCCTGGCACTTGTTCTTCTTTAAACCAATTACAGATGGCTACTTACGGGGAGAAGAATGCGGCGACTTGACTTCAGGTCTTGGAGCTACTGGCTGGACTGGTCTCGTCTGTTTAGCGGCGAGTTTCTTCAGGCTGACGCGTCTC